TCTGGTGCCTCTGCCCCTCTCCCCCTGCTCTGCACCCTGCAGGGAGCAGCCTCGGCTCTCCCGGCTCGGAGCTGCTCCTCTCCCATTTGCCAGGCGCTTTTCCTGCCGTGACTGTGCACATCTCGCCCGGCTCCCTCCCTCCCTCCCTCCCCCGGGCCGGGGCTCACCTGGCCGCGCTTCTTCCGCGACGCCTCCAGCTGTCGTCCTGCAGGGTCCCTCCCTCCCTCCCCCAGACATCCCACGGCTCCGCTGTCAGAGGACCATCAGCAGTCACAGCTTGGAAAATATTGTCTGCTCCTGCCCTGGGCTGGGCACCGGGAGGCTCTGGCACGGCCAGAGGAGCCGGGAGGGGCACGAGAGGGAAGGAGAGGGAAGGAGAGGGGCAGGAGGTGCCCTTGGCCCAGCAGGAGCTGCAACAGGACATGGAGGGTCAGGTCACTGTGGGGCTGCAGATGGAGGAGGGCAGTGACATGGCCAGGGCTGTGACAGGGACAGGGACAGTGACAGGGCCAGGGACAGTGCCAGGCCCAGATCTGTGATATGGCCCAGGGACAGTGACAGGGCCAGGGACATTGACAGGGCCAGGGACAGTGACATGGCCAGGGACAGTGACATGGCCAGGGCTGTGACAGGGACAGAGGGTCCCTCCCTCCCTCCCCCAGACATCCCACGGCTCCGCTGTCAGAGGACCATCAGCAGTCACAGCTTGGAAAATATTGTCTGCTCCTGCCCTGGGCTGGGCACCGGGAGGCTCTGGCACGGCCAGAGGAGCCGGGAGGGGCACGAGAGGGAAGGAGAGGGAAGGAGAGGGGCAGGAGGTGCCCTTGGCCCAGCAGGAGCTGCAACAGGACATGGAGGGTCAGGTCACTGTGGGGCTGCAGGTGGAGGAGGGCAGTGACATGGCCAGGGACATTGACAGGGACAGGGCTGTGACAGGGACAGGGACATGGCCAGGGCTGTGATATGGCCACAGCAGTGACAGAGCCAGGGCCAAAGATCCCAGCCATGGAAAGGGACAGATCCCGGCCCTGGGAGGGGACAGATCCCATCCTGGGAGGGATGGGATCCTGACCCTCAGAGGGGACAGGTTGTTATTCCTCCTGGAATATGGATTTGGAGGGGTGGTTGCTCTTCTCCTCTGCATCTCAGAGGCATCGCCCTGCAGGAGGTGGCAGTGTCCCGGGCTGGCTGCAGGGGTGGGTGACACCAGGACGAGGGGTGGGTGCAGGGGTGGGTGACACCAGGCAGTGCCCCAGGCTGGCTGCAGGTGGGTGACACTGGGACAAGGGCTGTGGAGCATCTCCCTCCTCTCCCAGGAAAGCCCTGGAAAGGGACAGATCCCGGCCCTGGGAGGGGACAGATCCCATCCTGGGAGGGATGGGATCCTGACCCTCAGAGGGGACAGGTTGTTATTCCTCTTGGAATACAAGTTTGAAGGGGTGGTTGCTCTTCTCTGCATCTCAGAGTCATCACTCTGCAGGAGGAGGTGGCAGTGTCCCGGGGTGGGTGACACCAGGCAGTGCCCCGGGCTGGCTGCAGGGGTGGGTGACACCAGGACGAGGGGCGGCTGCAGGGGTGGGTGACACGGGGCTGAGGGCTGTGGAGCATCTCCCTCCTCTCCCAGGAAATCTGGGGCTGCAGGAGCTGGAGCTGCAATTCCAGGGCTGGGAAGAGGAGGTGGGGACAGTTTGGCTGTTGGATTATATCTTTTTCTGACCTAGAGATGAGGTGTTTTAAAACCTTTTATGCCATTTTCAGTCTCATGAGAAGGGTGAGACAATACAGGCGTTACAATTCACTCCACCACAATCAGAAGCTATTTCCTGGTTACAATGCACTACAAGTTCTTGGTTTATCAGCTTTAGCCACCCCATGCTGTAAATGCCTTAAAGCCAATTTTCTATAAATCCACTTCCCACACGTGACCCCAGGCTGGCTGCAGGTGGGTGACACTGGGACAAGGGCTGTGGAGCATCTCCCTCCTCTCCCAGGAAATCTGGGGCTGCAGGAGCTGGAGCTGCAATTCCAGGGCTGGGAAGAGGAGGTGGGGACAGTTTGGCTGTTGGATTATATCTTTTTCTGACCTAGAGATGAGGTGTTTTAAAACCTTTTATGCCATTTTCAGTCTCATGAGAAGGGTGAGACAATACAGGCGTTACAATTCACACCATCACAATCAAAACTATCTCCTGATTACAAAACACTATAAGTTCTTGGTTTACCCAAGAACTTAGCCACCCCATGCTGTAAATGCCTTAAAGCCAATTTTCTATAAATCCATTTCCCACACGTGACCCTGCTCTGGTGGTGGTGGCCCTGATTCTGTCCTGCCTCTCCCTCCCCAGGCTGGCCCAGTCCCTGCGGGCGCTGTTTGCCTCGTCCCTGGCCATCTCGCTGGTGTTTGCCATCATCCCCCTGTGCCACAACGTGGTGGTGCTGGCCGTGGTCATGGCCGTGGCCGGGCTGGCCATGGGCTGCATCGACACCATCTCCAACATGCAGCTGGTCAAGATCTACCAGAAGGACTCTGCCATCTTCCTGCAGGTGAGAGCGGGCTCCTCAACCCCCTGGGCAGCTCTAGGATGGAGGAAATTCTCCCCAGAAAGGGTGGTTGGGCATTGGGAGGGTGGAGGCACCATCCCTGGGGGTGTCTGAGGAAAGCCTGGCTGTGGCACCATGGCAGGTTTAGGATGACCCGGGCAGGGTTAGGATGGAGTTTAGGAGGAATTTCTCCCCAGAAAGTGTGGTTGGACATTGGGAAGATGGCATCACCATTCCTGGAAAGCCTGGCTGTGGCACTGTGATGCCCTCACTGCCCTGGGCTTAGGAGTAATTTCTCCCCAGAAAGGGTGGCTGGGCACTGGGAGGGTGGCACCACCATCCCTGGAGGTGTTGGTGGCAAGTGGCACTCAGCTCTGGTGACACAGTGGTGTCAGGTCACAAGTTGGACTCGATCACGAAAATTATTTTCCAACCGAATTAATTCCGTGATTCTGAGGAGGAGCTGGGGGGGCTGTGCCACCCTCCTGCTCCAGCGTGTCCCCTCCTGCAGGCCCTGCACTTCTTCGTGGGTTTCGGGGCGCTGCTGAGCCCCCTGATCGCCGACCCCTTCCTGTCGGACACCAACTGCATCCTGGCCAACGGCACGGCCAACGCCTCCAGCAACCTGCCGCACATCCGCAAGTCCCTGGTGCCGCACCACCCCGGCAACCTGTCCCACTACGACCTGCCCATGAAGGGCATGGTGGTGACACGCGTGTCCTACGCCTTCTGGATCATGGCCCTCATCAATGTGAGTGCTGCGGCTGGACATCCGGCTGGGATCGTCCCGGGAGAATCCAGCTGGGATTGTTCTGGGAGAATCCGGCTGGGATCGTCCTGGGAGAATCCAGCTGGGATCAGCCCAGGAGAATCTGGCTGGTATTGTCCCGGGAGAATCCAGCTGGGATCGTTCTGGGAGAATCCGGCTGGGATTGTCCTGGGAGAATCCAGCTGGGATCGTCCTGGGAGAATCCAGCTGGGATCGTCCTGGGAGAATCCGGCTGGGATCGTCCCGGGAGAATCCAGCTGGGATCAGCCCAGGAGAATCCGGCTGGGATCATCCCGGGAGAATCCAGCTGGGATTGTTCTGGGAGAATCCAGCTGGGATAATCTCAGGAGAATCCAGCTGGGATTGTCCTGGGAGAATCCGGCTGGGATCATCTCAGGAGAATCCAGCTGGGATCGTCCTGGGAATATCCAGCTGGGATTGTCCTGGGAGAATCCAGCTGGGATCAGCCCTGGAGAATCCAGCTGGGATCATCCTGGGAGAATCCAGCTGGGATCATCCCGGGAATATCCATCCAGCTGGGATCATCCCTGCTCTGGGGGTTTGGGGTTTCTGGTGTTTGGGGGGTCCTGGAATGGAGGTGAGAAGCAGGGAAAGGGTCATTTGTTGCCAAATCCTGTTTTTATCAGGGCACTTCCCTGCTGGATGTGCTGGGAATGATTCAGGGGTCTGTCCGAGCTCTCTGGGAGCTGGGCCAGCAAACTCTGCTCAGAGGCAGAGTTTTTCCTTCATGCTCAGCTGGGGATGGCCTGGCAGGAGGGGTTTGGAAATATTCCCAGGGAAGCGCCCATCAGTGACCTGCATGATGGGACAGGGCCTCTCTCTAGTTATTATTTTCCCCAGAGATCACAGCAGGTGTAAAAGTCCTTCCTCTGAGGGGGAGAGGAGGGATCTGGAGTCCCTTTTGCCCAGCTGAGGAGCAGTAAAATGGGTGATGCTGCCTGGCAGCTCCTTCCCTCTGGAATTCAGCTCTCAGAGCTTGAGGATGAGCACATTCCCCTTCTCCTGTCCCTGCTTTGCCACCCCTCCACCAGCACCGGGCAAGGGGAGCTGCATTTCTTTTCCTTGGGCTCTCTCCATTTGTTAAATTATTTAAATATCCCCATTTTCCCATCCAGGGGTTTCCAGGCTCTCCCAGCTCCCTGTGGGAGGAGCTTGGGCAGGTGCTGGGATGAGTTTCTGGGTAGAATTACCCAAAAAAGGCCCAGCCTGGGAGGAGACACAGCTTTAATTACCTCCAGCTCTGTCTGTGCCACGGGAAATGTGCCTTTAATTACTCCAGAGCCAGCAGATCCCGAGCAAACCCCTTGAGTTTGGAAGGAGTTTCACACCTGCTTTGAACCCGATGTTGTGTCTGATTTGGGAATTTCCAGAGCCCTCTCTGTCCCCAGCAGCGTCCTGAGGGTGTTTTTGGGGAAGGATGGCACCACAGGCTGTGGGTTTGTGCCTCAGGACACACTCAAGTGCTGCACGCAGGGGTGGGTGGGTGGAATACAGAATTCCCAGGACTCCCACAGGCTGTGGAGGAACACCAGGAACGTGGAAGGGAGGCTGGGAGCCTCAGAGGTTTTGGGATAAGGGTTAAATAACAAACACTCAGTGGGGAGTTGGATGTGCTCAGCTCCCGAGCCAAGCTGTGATTGCCTTTCCCAAATCCTCATGGAGAAAAGTGATTTTATTTTATTTTATTTTATTTTATTTAAACCACTCCAACCTGCTGGAGATGCTGGGAGAAGCTCAGCTCCAAAGCGCTGACCCTTTTCCAGCAGAGGAAGATGATGGGAAGGGGTTTTTACACCTCCAGGGACATGGATGAAAAGAGTTAACAACAGAAATGGAAACCAGGAGCAGCAGCTTGCTTATAAAATGGCCAAATCCCACATTTCCAGCCCGGTTTTTGTGTGGATTCTGACAAGGCACGAGCTGAAATGATTCATTTCGAGCTCTTGCTTTTGTTTAGAGTGGAAATGTCTCAATCTGACTCTGGCACAAGTGCTCAGTGCAGAGCTGACAGCGGAGCTGTGCCGATGTTTTTGAAGCAAAATGGGTTTGCTTTGGGAAAATGAAGCAGCTCAGCATAATCAAAACAAAGCACTTGGATCACTCCCAGCCAAAATCTTTCACTCGACGAGAAAATTTTTTTGCCTTTTCATCCCGATTTTGGAACAAAACCTCCATGTTTTAGAGTTCAGTTCTCCCACAGAACGGAAATTTCATCACCCAGCCCGGTGCAAGGGCTGGAAATCAGGGAAATGTTGGTGGAGAGGGAGGTGTTTGTCAGGAAGGTGCTTTCCCAGGGGAGGTGTGGGACACTGCATTGTGCTCCACGGGAGCCGGGGATACAATGGCAGGGAAGGATCCCGGGTTCCTGGGGGGAACAGACAGAAATAGCAGCCGGAGGGAAGGAGGGAGCTGGAATATCCCCACGCTGAGCTGGGGATGCAGCAGCTTGTGGAGGATTTGGGGATGGATGAAAGCTGCCAGGTGAGGGAGGGAGCAGCTCTGGGAATTTGGGAAATGTTGAGTGCAGGGAATTGGGGGTTCTGCTTGGCTCTCAGCTCCTGGTGGGGAATGCTCTGGTGTCCCTTTTTCCCTTAGGAGAAGAAAATCTTCCTGCCAAAAAAAAAAAACAAAACCAAAACAAAAAAAAGGCAAAAAATATCCTGGGAAGGAGTTCTGGCACCAAAATGGCACCAAAATCTGGCTGTCCAGGAGGGATGGTCAGGAATGGGATGGGGTGGCCACAGCCATGAGTGGGACCTCCTAAAACTGTCCCAGCCTGGTTAAAGCAAAAAGGACCTGGTGGATTTAAAGGTGAGGGTGTGGAGAGCAGGGAAAACCCCAGAGTGGGACTGGGAACTGGGGAATCCAAATGGGGGGCCAGGGATACCAATGGGAGTTAAAGCAAAAAGGACCTGGTGGATTTAAAGGTGAGGGTGTGGAGAGCAGGGAAAACCCCAGAGTGGGACTGGGAACTGGGGAATCCCAAACTGGGGGCGATGGATACACCCCAATACTGGGGCCTGGGACTGGCTGGGGATGCCCCAGCAGATCAGGAGCATTTTCTCCCAGTGTTCCCCCTCTTCTCCCCTCTCTCCTATCCCCACCCCTCAGCATCTCCTGTCCCATCCCCATCTCTCCTTGCTCTGAAATTCCCTTCAGGCACCTCCCCTGCAGAATCTGAGCCCAGCACCTCAAACTGCCGCTGCTGGGGGAGCTGGGCTGTGCTTTTGGGGCGGTTTTGGGGTGATTTTGGGACGTTCAGCTGCTCACCCCCCCTGTGTCCCCTGCCCAGCTGCCGGTGCCCATCGCTGTGTTCTTCCTGCTCTACAAGGAGCGGATGGTGCCCTGCTTCAACGGCAGCAGCCACCCGCTGCTGTCAGCTGACGAGCTGGCCCTGGAGACACGGCCTGGGGACAAGGACGAGCTCTCCACCGCTGGCCACAGACCCCACGCAGCTGCAGGTGAGCTGGAGCTGCCTCTCATATGGGTTTGGGGGAGAAAAAGCCATATTTGAGTGTTTCAGGGTGTAGTGGGAGATCCAGCACTGCTGTCTGAGGAGGAAACAAAGTGTGCAAAGTGTGTGCAGGGGTCTCATCCAGGAATACCCAAACAATCCATTTGGTGCTCAACTGCCCTCAGATTCGATGGAATCTTCAACAGAGGTTGGTATCCCCATCCCAATGAGGCCTCCAGGCTGTTTCTCCATTCCATGTTTCTCCAAGCCAACCTAAAGCCAAGCCTGGCACCCCAACCCTTCAGGGACACGTGGCAGTTGTGCTCCTTCATTCCCTCCTGGTTTTGGGTCACATTTCTTACTGATTATTCAGTTTAAAAGTGGCCATTGTGCTGCAGATGCTGATTTTTGTAGGAAAGGAATAAGAAATAACAAATTTCCCCTCCCTTGTTTGAGGGGAAAAGTGAAATCCAGCAAGTTTGCTCTTGACCTCATGGCTGCACCCTGCCTTGGGGACAATGGTGACATTGTTCTTTCCTAGCCAGGAGAGACGTGTCAGAGTCAATTCTTTGGGTAAACAGTGAATCTCAGAAGTAAATATGGCTTAGGACTGTGGGGAGTGTTCTGTGTTATTCCTGGAAAGATGGCTTTGCCCCTGGGCAAGAAAAGGGAATTTCAGGGGATTCTTCAACGTCAGGAGGTGCTGAGATGTGGGAGGGCTCAGGGGTGATGCCAAGCTCTGTGTGTGTGTCCCCCTGTCCCAAAGGTGCCTTGTTGGGTGCAATATCCCTTATCCAGGGATTGGGATCTCTCCTGGGCAGGGCTGTCCTGTGGGGCGGCTCCAGGGATGAGGGGATTTGGGCCATGAGTGCCAAGGTTGTGTTTTCATTGCCTGTGAGAGCAGGGCCAGAACAGGGGAGCCCCAAAATGGGAAAAGGAGCATGGGCAGCTGCAGTAAGAGAAGTGGCAGCACAGCCCAGGGTTTTGGGGTTTGGGGAGCCAGGATTTTGGGGTATGGAGAGCCATGATTTTGGGGTATGGAGAGCTGGAATCCCAGGGTATGGAGAGCCCAGGATTTTGGGGTATGGAGAGCCAGGATTTTGGGGTATGGAGAGCTGGGATCCCAGGGTGTGGAGAGCCCAGGATTTTGGGGTGTGAAGAGCTGGGATCTTGGAGTGTGGAGGGCCTGGATTTTGGGGTGTGAAGAGCTGGGATCTTGGAGTGTGGAGGGCCTGGATTTTGGGGTGTGGAGAGCCCAGCATCCCTGGGGGTGTGGGCAGCAGGTTCCCCAAAGAACCAGGATCCCAGGCTGTGCAGATCCAGGATCCCAGGCTGTGGCAGACCCCACACCCATTCCCATTTCCTTCTGGAAGCTTAGCGGAAGGTAAAGGTGAGGTGGAGCCCCCCGAGCTCAGCAGTGCCCCACGTTCAGGGTCCTGGTGGGGTCTGTCCTGCAGCTGTCCCACCAAGCAAACCCCACTGAGGGCTGGCAGCCACCCAGCCCCGGGGGGACGTTCTGGTCAGGTTTGCTTTGCATTGTTCTCCACCAGGTCACGAGGATTTGTTCAGCTGCTGCCAAAGCAAGAACTTCCAAGGGGTTTCCTTCACCTATTTCGCCGTGCACATCACCGGGGCTCTGGTTCTCTTCATGACTGACGGGATCGTGGTGAGTTCAATGCCCAAATCTCTGGATTATTTTCCTTCCAAACCCTTGTGAAACCCCCAGGGGCTCCTCAGGGGTTAATGGTGAGAGGGGTTAGACAGGAATGGGAATTTCCCAAGCTCTCCATCTCCAAGGATAAGCAACTCTGAGCTCTAAATGTGATGTTTGGAGAGTGTGGAACTCCAAAAGGGCAGGGCAGCCCCTCGGGGAGGGAGGATCTCTGCAGGCTGGGCTTGTCCCTGGGACAGCTTTGCCCTTTTAGGACAGACTAAACCCCACATCCTGCTGCTGGTGGATCTGCAAACCCTTCCACCATGCCCAGGCTCTCCACCACGAAGAGCTGAGGGGCAGAGGAGCCTGAAGTCCCCATGGGGATGTGACAGAGGGGATTTTCCTGCAGGGAGAGTACTCGGGCTTCGTGTACAGCTACGCCGTGGAGGAGCCGCTGGCCGTGGTGCACAAGGTGGCCGGGTACCTGCCCAGCCTCTTCTGGGGCTTCATCACCCTGGGCAGGCTCATCTCCATCCCTGTGTCCTACAGGATGAAGCCAGCCACCATGGTCTTCATCAACGTGGTAAGGATGGGGTTAATGCCTTGGATGGGTTTGGGGCTGCAGCTCCTCTCACCCCTGGGGGGTTTGCACAGGTAGGGTGGGCAAGGTGCCCTCGGGGTAGCCACGATTTAAAATTTGATTGCCCAGCTTTCCTGAGCCTGCTCCTCAGCTGGAAAAGCACCAGGAGAGTTGGCACTAAAAAAATTGCCCATTTTATTGACCTTACACAGTGACTCCTTCATGCACAGGGAACATCCTGGGGTGGCCATGGCCAAGGGAAGGCAGGTCACGCTGTGAATTCTCTGCTTAGGCTGCAGCAGCTGGCAGGGCTTGCTGAAGTCAGTAATACACCTTGGGAAAGGGGCAGGAGTCCTTGTGGGAGGTGTAAGGAGGATCTGTGTGAGGACATGGCAGAAAACAGGGAGGGGATGGTCCCAATCCTGCTTCTTACAGAGAGAAAAAGCACGAGCAGGCATTAACTGCCAATTTATTTGAACCAGAAGTGATTTTGGAGGCTATATTTTAATAACAAAACACATTACAGTGTGTTACAATACCCATCTAACAGAGTGGGGAGAAGATTTTGGGGTGTTCTGAGTAAAAATCCACCTGGCTGACCCTGACCCTGTGCGGTGCTGGGAGCTGTTGTAGGACCCAGCAGCTCCTGGAGTCATTGCAGCTTTGTCATAACAAATCCAGCTCGAATTTGGCTTCTTCAGGATCCAAATTTCTGCTGAGCTGGAATATCAGAGCTCCCTCTGCTGACTCTGCCCTGGATCACTCGGGCATTTCCCAGAGTTTTTGGTTATTTCCCCTACAAGCCAGAGGTGAGGGAAAGTTGATTTAAATGCAGTTGCCTCTTTGGCTTTAATGCTGTGGCTGCTTTCTGAGCAGTTATTGAGAATTAATTCTGTAATTATTGAGAGTGACTTCAGTCTTACTCAGCAGAATAAAGAATTATTAGTGATTAAGACATGTAAATATTGTGGAAGGTACTATTGCATTTAAAAGTATATATTTCAAATAAAACCTTAAGTTTCTACATAATGAAATTAAGACTTGATTACAAAATTATATAATGAAAATTAGCAAATTCTTTAAAGCCGAATGGATTTTCTTTGGCCATTCAGTTTCTCAAACACTGAATTTTTTTTTCCTCCCAGCATATTTCCTCTTCCAGACCATCTCCCATTAAAAATAAACATATTTTCTCTTCCAGAACATTTCCTATTAAAACCAAACTCTAGACCCTGCTGCACTCAGCACTTTTCTGACTGATTTTTGTGGCTGCTGCTCACAGGTCGGGGTCCTCATCACCTTCCTGCTGCTCCTGATTTTCTCCTCCAGCGTGGTTTTCCTGTTTGTGGGCACAGCGTCCCTGGGGCTGTTCCTCAGCAGCACCTTCCCCAGCATGCTGGCCTACACCGAGGACATCCTGCAGTACAAAGGTGAGCTGCCATTTAACCAGGTGCATTTTTAGATCCCATCCCCTTTTTTCAGCTCCTTCCCTCCACCCCCAAGAGGCCGGGAAGTTCAGGTTCGCTTTTGCAGGCAGATTTGTTGCAGGGAAGTGTCCAATTCTCTGTTTTGCTAATGAATAAAGACCCCAGGCAGGGATCCAGCCTCGGTTCCTGGCTTGGGGAGCTCAGGGAGGGGCAGGAATGCTGCTTTGGAGGGAGCTGGTTCTGAAAACATCCCCAGATTACCTGAGCTGGAAACCCAGAGCTGGCCAGCTCCCCCAGGAGCTCCCTGGCAGCCCCTGTCTCGAGGGCAGTGAGACAGAAACACAAAAACCTTCCCAGCAAGAGGCACCATCACCTCTGCCAGCACAGACAGGTGATGGGAGATTGAATTTTTTTACTTCAACTTTCACCTTTCTGCACTACTGCAGGTCTGCTGAGGCATTTTCAGCATTAAGTGGGAATGCACACTGAGTATTTTTGATTTTTGTGTGGTGAGATCCACAGGAAAGCTTTGAAGGAGCACAGGCTGGCCCTGCTGGCTGTGTCACCCTGCTGCCACCACCCCTGCCCTGTTTCCTCACAGGTTGTGCCACCACCGTGCTGGTGACTGGAGCTGGCATTGGAGAGATGGTGCTGCAGCTGCTGGTGGGCTCGGTGAGTAGCCAGAAGCTGGCAAAACCCAAAATAAATTTGGAATTTTTGAGTCAAGCCCTCAGTTCTGCTCCTGGGCACTGCCTGAGCCTTGGCTTATCAGCCAGCAAAGCCCTCCCTGATGATCCACAAGGAACCTGAGTGATGTCTGATCCCTTTTTTTGTTTCCCATCCCTGCAGATTATCCATGATCGGGGCAGCTACAGTTTCCTGGTCTGTGGGATGATCTTTGGATGCTTGGCCTTCACCTTCTACGCCCTGCTGGTGTTTTTCCACAGGATGTACCCCAAGCCCTCCCCAGGTAAGGGAACCCCAGCCCTGAGCCCTGCTTTGGGATGGGAGCGAGAGCAGCACAAGCCTCACTCCAGAGATCCCAGCAAAATGCAAGGAAATGTTTATTTTCCTGCTGCTTCCTCTCTCCTTTTCCTGCTTTGTCTTGCCCACAAAGCCTTGGCAGCCACAGCTCAGGGTTTGCTTTCTTTTCTGCTGGAGAAGCAAGGGAAAAAAGCAGGAATCACAGACAGCACCAGCTTCCCTGGGCTGTTCCCTGGCTGAAATCCAGGGAATAAGCAGGGCTGCCATCCAAGGGCAGCTGTCAGGCTCTGGAAAAAGCCTCACAGATAAAGGATTTTTGAGTTATCACCTCAGTCTGGAGCTGCTGGTTGTTTTTATACGAAAGAAGCAGAGTGGGACAGAGTCCTGAGGGAGCTGGGAAAGGATTTGGGGAATCCTGAGGGAGCCGGAAAGGGTCTGGAGAGTCCTGAGGGAGCTGGGAAGGGTCTGGAGAGTCCTGAGGGAGCCGGGAAGGGTTTGGAGAGTCCTGAGGGAGCTGGGAAGGGTCTGGAGAGTCCTGAGGGAGCTGGGAAGGGTTTGGAGAGTCCTGAGGGAGCTGGGAAGGGTCTGGAGAGTCCTGAGGGAGCCGGGAAGGGTCTGGAGAGTCCTGAGGGAGCTGGGAAGGGTTTGGAGAGTCCTGAGGGAGCTGGGAAGGGTTTGGAGAGTCCTGAGGGAGCCGGGAAGGGTCTGGAGAGTCCTGAGGGAGCTGGGAAGGGGCTCAGCCTGGAGCAAAGGAGGCTCAGGGGGAATTTGTGGCTCTGCACAACTCCCTGCCAGGAGGGGACAGCCGGGGGGGATTTGGGATCTTGTCCCAGGGAACAGGGACAGGAGGAGAGGGAACGGCCTCAGGCTGGGCTGGGGAGGCTCAGGGTGGACATCAGCAGGAATTTCCTCCTGGAAAGGGCTGGAAGGGGCTGCCCAGGGGGGTTTGGAGTGCACGTCCCTGGAGGTGCCCAGGGAAGGCCTGAACATGGTGGGGATGAGGGGGGTGATTGAATAACAACATTCCTGAGGGGAAAACCTCACACCCATCGCCTTTAATCTCACTAAAGCATCCATTGAGGTGAAATACCGATTTAATCTGTTGCAGAGCTGGACGAGGCCTCCCCGGAGAAAGCAGCAGTGCCCGAGGACACGGGGCAGTACCAGCGCTGAGGGAGGCCCGGCTCCGCACAAGCAATAAACCCAGCCCCAATTAAGCATTTCTCCCAAGGGTGATTTCACTTTTAATGAACTGAATCATGCAAGTTCTCTGCAATCAAAAGCACAGTAGGTGGGGTGAGGCAGAATCGAGGAAATCCAGCCCAAAATGTCGAGCTGAGCACTGGGGTTGTGCCAAAAATCCTGCCAGCCTGATCCTGGGACTAAAAGCAGGGACATTTGCACAGCAGTTCCTCCTGCAAATGAAGTTTTTTCTCCTGCAAATGAAGTTTTTTCTCCTGCAAGTGAAGTTTTTTTTTCTCCTCCAAATGAACTTTTTTTTTTACCTGCTCAGGACAGAGGGTGAAAAGGAAAAGCTGCTCTCTGCTCCTCATCCAAGACTGAATGTCTCCTGGCTTGAATAGATTTTATTTCTGGCCCGTGGTGCACAGGAACCCCCTGGAATTTGCAGCACAATCCTGGGTTTTCATTCGTTTTTGCGACTAATTCTGTGCCACCTCCCTTGATCCTTCCAAAGGGGGGAAGTCCCACAGTGGCAGAGCCCCCAGGTGCACACAGGCAGCAGGGCCTGTCTCTATTTGCACATTTAATTCCTGTATATTCCACACTAAACAGTGTCTTACTCAGCATGCTCAGGCCTCTTAAATGATTTTAAGTAATCATTTGCCTTTTTTTTCTTTCTTTTTTTTTGGGGGGGGTTTACTTTTTGGGTTTTTTTTAAGTCAAGAATGAGCTGTGCTGGTTCCTTTTGCTTTAAGTCACTTCTCGAGCTGCTCCAGCTGCAGTGTCTTATTTTAATGTTGGTTTTATTTCCAACTTCCAAGCCAAGCTCCAAGAGAGAAGAGATTTTTTTTTTTTCTTTTTAAATTTTATTTTTGGGAGCCAGGCTCCAGCTGCTTCACCTGTGCAATCTCCTCATCCAGGTGCCTTGTGTAAGGTACTCCCACAGCCCACGCATGGCCTGTCCCAGCCACCAGGAGAGGACTGGAATTTTGGGGAATGTCAAACTCCTCGTGCCAGGAGTGGCTGTGGATGCAACTCCTTGCTTGAACTGCTGTATGTGATGTACATATGTACGTGTGTATATAAAGCAGTGTTTAATTAAAGGTGATTGATTGCTAATTGCTCGCTGACTGGATTCACTCCAACACCTCCAGTTCTCAGTTTTTAAACTCATTAACTTAAAATCTAACAGTTTTTTGGTTCTTTTTTTTTTTTTTTAATTAAAGTGGTTTTGGAATTTGCAGAGTTGTGGAATGGTTTGGGTTGGGAGGGACCTTAAATCCCATAATCCCTTAAATCCCATAATCCCTTAAATCCCATAGAGCCTGGATGGGATCTGCTCTGGGGTTGGAATAGAACTGGAATCTCTGCTAGGGCTGGAATCAAATCCCAGAAGGGTTTGGGATGGCAGGATCTTAAAAACCTTCTCATTCCAAGGCCAGGGACACTTCCACTGTCCCAGGTTTCTCCAGCCTGGCCTTGGACACTTCCAGGGTTGGGGCAGCCGTGGATTCTTTAGGAAATTTCCATTTTTCCAAGCAGCAGCTCTTCCCTGCCATTAAATATCTCCACAAACCCCAGCAGAACAGAGCCTGGAGTTGTTGAATTGCCATTTTCCTCCCTCAAGGCGAGTTTGGATTGGGTCAGTGCAGCTGAATTCTGGGTTTAGCTCATCCCTGACCTTCAGGGACACCCTCCTGCCTCAAATCCCATCCATTCTGTGATCCTATAATGAAACCAAACCCAATTCCATGCCAGGCTGGAGCACCCTGGGATGGAATGAGGAGGTTTCTAAATTCCTGCCACCCCAAACCCTTCTGGGATTTGATTCCAACCCACCCAGGCTGTAATTCTTCTGCAGCTCCACAGGATGCCACTGTTCCTCTCCTGGACCTGCCCAAATCAATCACCCGGGATGAAACCACCACAGACTGCAAAGGCCATTTACAGCAAAATAAAACCCCTCAATCTGGCCTTGCTTGAGCCCCTCCCAGCATGAGAGCATCTCTGGGCCCTGCTGGGAGGAAATGAGCACCGAAATTTGGGAAGAAATCTCCTCAGTTTGTGTCACAGCAGCTCTGGAATCATCTCTCATTCTGGCCTGGCAGCTTTGGTAAAACAGAGCTCAGTCTCTTCTCAGTTAAAATCCACCACCACAGTTCTTGGGCTTGGCAACTCCAATCTCCACTTTGGCTACTTAGAGGGGGAAAAAACCTATTTTCACCAGAATAGCACCTGATTTAACTTTAAAATACAATTTACCTCAAGTTTTGATGAACTCTCTCCTTATCACATCCCCTGCAGCTGAAACTATTTTCTCTACTGAAAGTAAAAAAAAAAGTCAAATGAGCAGAAACTTTGTTAAAAATATTTATTTAAAAAAATACAATTGTTTTGCATGTCTGGTTGCACATAACTATTAACATATGATTGACTTGAATAATTTGCTACAATGCTTTTTTTAAAGCCAGCTTGCATTATACAAAGCAAAATCCCTCTGTCAGTTCTTACATAAAATAGTTTTCTTTAACTATTCCCACCCCATTTTTTTTAAAAAAAAAGATTGCAATACATTGATTTTTATTTTGTTGCATTTTTTTTTTTTGCACAAAAATCGAAGCAATAGAAAAAAGTCACCTGATTTCTCAGGAAAGACCTTCATGATGTTTGAATAACAATTCCCAAAGAGCCACTGCCAAAGCAGCATTTGTCACTTTGAAGTGTCAGGACAGTGCAAAGGAAGTTTTTGCATCTTAAAAGCTTTGCCTCCTGATTGTATTCAAACCTGAAATGTGCTCAAACAACTCCATCCCTGCCCTAATCCAGTTGCTCATACTCTGAATTTTCAGGATGATTTACACGCTGAAGGTCTTCCTAAATGTTATCTCAGAAGGTTAAATAAAAGCAAAATTTAGTAACACTGAACAATTACTGAAAACTTTGGCTATTTATGTACTTGCATTACATACCAGCATTTTTTTTTTAAACACAATGGCATTAAGATACTCTAATAAGGTATTTAAAAATAAAAAGTTAGACTGAGAAGCAATTCTGTCCCAGGCAGGGTCACCTGGCTGGAACAAGGGGTGACTTTTACAGCTGTCTTGTCCAGAAAAGTCTCCAGTGTAGGAAGTTTCAGACACTCACTACAACAAAACTTTGCCTCTTGAATTTGTAATATATATATATTTATATATATTTATAGAGAAAAGAAAAATGCAACTCTGTTCTGGAAAGAGCCACTGGAAATGTTCCCCCTTTCTGTTGTTTTCCCCACTGATTGTTCTGGAAATCCCAGCCAGGTAAAACTGGGAAAGGCAAAACTCCAGCCCAGAGCTCCAGAGGGAGGGATCTGCTCCCAGCTCCCAAAAAACTGCCAAGAACCCGGCTCAGCCTGAAAATTCCAGCAAGGAACCACCCCAAAAATCACCTTCCCAAAGCAGATGTGCACTCCAGGAATGAACAGGACAACACACGCAGCTGGGCGGGGGTCCCAAAGCGGCTAAAGATGGATTTAAATGGATTTAAATTGATTTAAATTGATTTAAATTGACTTAAATCCCCCCAAGACACAAAGAACCTGCCCAGCCCAGGAAGCTGGAGCAGCTGCTGCTGGATGTGTGCTGATTCCCAGGATTCTGGCCTCCCAGAATTCCTGCTGGACAAGGATGATGAATTCCAGCTGCCCTGATCTCCTGTAGGGGACACGACCACTGTGTTTCCCTGGAATTTTTCCCTTTTTTTTTTTTTTTCCCCAGCTTTATTATTCCAAATCAACTTCTCAGCTCTAAAAACAGAGGGGAAGAAGCATTAAATGTGCTACTGTACCCATCACAAAGCACTGTGACGTACATAAGGCCATCTGGTAACACTGCAACAGGCTACAAAACAGGTTGGAAAAGGGAATTTCAGGATCTTTCTCAAAGCTACAAAGAATAAATCTCAACCCTGTTCACAGAGAATGAAACGTTTCAAAAGTATGTTTTATACAGAAAAAAAAAACCTCTGTGCAACTGAACAACAGCACAATAACAACAAAAAAATAAAAAGTCAACACAATTCTAGGAAGCAGTTTCAAAGCTTGGAGGGGTTAGGACATGCTAGGGAAAAATAAAAATAAAAATACAGCCCCAAAACTGATCCCAGGGAGCTGAGAGCAACGCCAGGGATTGGAAAATTGGAGCCCCCCCACCCCAGCACACAGCACACTCCAGGAACCATGCACAGGCCACCCTCAGAGCCTCCCCGTGCCCCAAAACCACAGAGAAATCACCCTAAAGGAAAGGAAAAAATCAAAATAAACAACGACAGCTTCCAGTTATGGTACAGCACTGCTGAAATGGGGCTGGAATCAGCTGCAGCCTCTCCTCACTGTCTCCACTCGATCCCTGATTTCCAAGGCTCAGGATTCTCCTGTTTGAGATGAAAACCTCCTCCAGCACAACCTCAGCAGAGAAATCTCTGAAATCAAGCCCAAACTTCTGTTCCATGCACACAAAACTACTCAAAAACACATTTAAGACATTTTTTAAACGGGAGATGTGGCAACCAACAATGTCAAAAATAAACCTTTGGCAACTCACGAGTGCGCGCTGGGGCAGGATTGATTTGAGTGCTAAAAGAGAAGGAAAAAACCCAAAAAATCCTCCCAAGGGAGTGCAAAATATTTCAAAGTGGCCACTGCAGAGTGCAGAATCTGCTCAGAGGGAGGATGGGGATATTTATCTGGATTTTTGGGAACACATCCTGCCAGGCATGACCCACGTGTGCTCCAGGCAGACTTTAAACACTGAGGAATCTAAAAAAAAATACAAATTTTCATCTCAGAGTGTGCTTCTCATCAGGGCCTGGAAGAGCTCCACAAGCAAAATCTGCTGCTTTCTTTGGGAGGTGGAAACAAAATTCATTTTTTGCCAGTTTTAGGGTGGTTTTGTTCCAAAATAATTTATAGGAAGCAGATATTTTGTTGGAATATCCAGGGAGAAACAAGGCCTTGCCCACCTGTGGTCAGACAGAAAAACAACCTGCAGGGAACACCTTCTCCTGATTCCTGCTTGTTCCTGGCAGGAATAAAATCCCTCAGTGCAGGATTGACTGAAACCAAACCCAAAATTTCACCTTTCTGCCCCGAGCCCTTCAGGGAATCCCGACAGGAATGGGCAGCGCTGCCCTGGTGGCTCCTCTGTTTTGCCCTCCTGACTAAAACCAGGCTCTGGAGGAAGATTTGGTTCCATTCCCAAGGATTTCTCTCTGTCCAGAGCCACCTCTCCCCTCCCCAGTCGCTCCCAGTGGAATTCTGTGCCCCAAAAATGCCTCAGGAATGAACAGGACAACACTGGCACACAGCTGGATGGGAATGGGGGTGCTGGAGTGGCTAAAAATCAAATTAAATTGATTTCAATCCCTCCAAGACACCAAAAACCTGCCCAGCCCAGGGAAGCTGGAGCAGCTGCCAAAATCACCTTCCCAAAGCAGATGTGCACTCCAGGAATGAACAGGACACACACAGCTGGGTGGGGGTGCTAAAAATGGATTTAAATTGATTTAAATTGATTTCAATCCCCCCAAGACACAAAGAACCTGCCCAGCCCAGGAAGCTGGAGCAGCTGCTGCTGGATGTGTGCTGATTCCCAGGATTCTGGCCTCCCAGAATTCCTGCTGGGGAAGGATTCACCCCCCGATCAATTCCAGATCTCACACACAACTGCTGTGTTTCCCTAGATTTTTCTCCCTTTTGCATTTTTTTTCCCAGTTTTATTATTCCAAATCAACTTCTGAGCTCTAAAACCTGAGGGGAATAAACATTCCCCAAGGCAAAGGGACATAAAACTTTTGGGATCAACTGCATTTGATCCCAAAATCTTCCTCTGCCAGCTCTGATTCCAGCAGCTCCTGTCCCACTCCCCTGGATCTGCTCACACTCAACAGCCACTGCTAATTGCTGCTTAATGAACTCCAAATCAACCCACGAACCTCTGTTTAGGCAGCAGCACCCTCATCAAACACCCTGGAGAGCTCCTGAGTGAATACTCAAGGATTTGGGGCTCCTCTCAGGGGCTGCTTGCAACGCCCCACTCTGATTTTGAGGACAAAATCACCCCACCAGCTCAGAGGCCAAGAGGTCTCTTATTTTCTTTTTTTTTCCCCCATTTCTACTCTTCCAGATCCAGATTCTATTCCTCACAGAGCTGAGGAAGGAAACAAACCAAAACAGCCACCAAAACTCAGAAGTTTTTCAGTTCCTGTGGATTTTAACAACGTTCTCTGACCCACTGCTGAGGATGATTTCCAGAGCTGACACTGAGATGGACTGGAAACAAATCTGCCTTAAAAATGGAGAGGTTCAACTGCAGAGCACATCAAAACTGCCAGAAAACAGGAGCAGAACGAGGTGAATAAAGGAATGAACCCACCAGAGGGGCAGAGCTGGTCTCAGCTGGAGGAAAAGCTCCAGGAGGGGAGCAGGGCCCTTCACTCCCCCCCACCCCAGCTGGAGCCCCAGGGATGGAGCTCCCCGGCCTGGGGGAAGCTGGACAAGGAGATCTGCACCTCAGCAGCTTCACTGCCCCCTGAATCAACGCCAAAAACCCAAAATGTTCCATCTGGGAGATAGCTGAGGTCTGAAAATGCATCGGGGGGAAATGATCCCCACCAAAGCCCTTCTGTTCTCACACACCACCCCATCACCCCAAGGATTCCATGGACACAAAGCTGGGATGCTGCAAGTGAAAACAAGGAATTGTCCAACCCCAGGGATTTTATCCCTTCCTATTGCAAACCAGAGCTTGAATGTGCCAAAAGCTGGGCACAGGAATTGCATCCCCTGCTGAGGACGGCTCTGAAACAAAGCTCTAAACCTAAAGCTGCTGCTAAAACAACCCCAAAATTCCTCCATCACCCTTTTACCAGGATCACCTCCCCAGGACAGACAGAACACCCAGGGCTCCATGGCCATGGGCCATTTTCCTGCTTCCAGGAGCTGCTCCTGCCAGGAACTGAAAATCCAGGATCCCAAAGAGAGCCAGGCAGCAGCAGCAGCTCCCCATGGAAAAATAAAGCAAAACAAAAAGAGATTTCCAGAAGCAAGACACGAGTTCAGCTTCCAGGATTCCCTAAATCCTAGGGAATTTGAATGTTTGGGTTTCATGGAAGGTGTGACCAACAGCAGGGGTTTATTCCCACCTCCAGGACCTGGGGAGGATGCTGGGTTCTTGTCTGTCTTCTACCAAAATGCTTTGACCTCCCACACAACCCAAGCCAGCCAGGAACAAACTGATGCAAAAATTACCAAGCATTCCACAAAACCAAAGCTACTCCAGCAACAGGAACCTAAGGAAAAAAAAAAAGCTTCTGTAATGCTGCATTTTTAAATTTTTTTTGTTGTTTTGTTTTTTTTTTTTAAATCACCACGGTACAGAACTAAACCAGAATCTACTCTAAGCCCACCTGCCTTAGGCTAAATTAAAAACAAATTGTGAGGAGCTGCACAAAAGTGCTCCTGAAGTGACCTAAAGAACCAGCAGGTGACAGAGCTGAGCCCCCAGGGAGCTCTGTCAGGAACGGGACCCAGGAGGAGCTGGCAGCTCCCTGTCAGTCCAGGGGCCTCAAGAGGCAGCACATCAAAAGGAAATATTCCCTTCAGTGACCTGAAAACTGCAGCGGAGAAAAGGCAGCACGGGCTGCTCCTCTCCCACCTCCTCTCCCTTCCCCAGCTGCCTCCTGAGCTTCTCATCCTGTCCACACTCATTTGTTCCTGGTGGAAAGCTTCCCATCCAGGCTGCATTTCCACAGGAAAAGCTGGATCTCTGTGGCACAGCAATTTTGGGAAGCTTCTTGGAGAGGAGCAGGAGCCCACAAAGAACTTTTTTTTGGGCTTGACCCTCTGCCCAAAGCCATAAAAGCTCACAAAGAATTAAGTGCACAAATTTTCAACAGTTAAACTTGGCTTTTCTCCACAGGGGAACAAGGGGGAAGGGAAGCAATTAAATTGCAAGTTTTTAGTGCTCATTCATGAATTTTCAATTCGAATCCCAGCCTGCAAATGTCAAAAGTCCAAGTATTTGGTAGGCATAAAATTGGCCAACCTGAACCAACCAAAGTGCTGCTATTTATACAAACTCTAGAAATTTCCCAGAGCAGGCTCCAAACATGCAAACCAAAAACAAAAATTCCAGATGCCTGCTCTTCATGATCACCTGCAGCTTCGCTTCTGCATTTCAAAAATAAAAATAAAATTAAAAAAAAGGTCAATATTGCACATTTTAAGAGCTGCTGGTGCAGGAATTTCCTCCTGCATCTGCTGATGTCTAAATGTGAAGCATTTTTTGCCTCTGACAGGAGCCAACAGGAAGACAGGTCACTCCATGAGCTCACTCCCTGCTTCTCCACCTGAAAAAGGAATATTTTTTTCTCCCACTTTTCCCCTGGGCAGGTGAACAATGCCCAAAAAAAGCGACTCTGTTCCACCCACCTGTCCCAGGTGTCACGTCAGGAACACACAAAAGTGGTTTTTCTGTATCTCAATGTCAGGACATAGAAAGGGAACATCACTGCAGGAAAAGAAAAGTCCTGGGTGTTGTGGCTTTAAAGGGAATTCCAAGCCTGCAAAAGTGGCAGAAGGAAAAACAAAAAAAAACCTCTGGAAAAGTTTGAGTTCACCACTTTTCCACGGAATAGGTGCAGTATTTACAGCAAGCTCTGTCAGCTCCTCGTGCTGGAGAGGGGAAAATCTTCCTCTGCTCGTGGCAGCTCGGAGGATGATGAAGGAAGAGATGTCTCCAGCTGTTTTCTGGGAACATTTGGTGGGGAAGATCCTCTGACACCCCCAACTCAAAGCCAGAAGTTGCTGCCTGACATCAGATGCCCCAGATTGGAAGGACACAGAGCCACAGCCCAACACTCCCAGGCTGAGGGGCTGAGAGAGGAGCAGCTCTCATTGTTTCACCCCTCAGTTTTCTTAAAAGGCCTCCTGAGGTGTAAAAATCCACCTAGAAATTCCATCTCACCTCCAACGGCTCTGGGAAACAATCCTGCATCATGAATCCAGGACACCAAGGAGGTGAAAGCAGATTTACCACGAGCTTAAACCCCATGGAATCCCCTCAACCTGGTTTGGGTCAGTGCTCCCTCCAAAAAAACCCCAAAATCACCAGCTCCACTGCAGAACCTGGGACCAGAGCTGGCAAAAGAGGAGCTTTTCCACGTGGGGAAAAGCAGGAAGCTTTTCCAGAACTGTGGGGAAAGAAGAGCAACACTAATTGTGGGATGTTGCTGTTCTCACTCACCCTGCTGGGCTCTGGAATTGCAGGTCAGGCAGCAACTTCCCTGATAGAAACCCAGGGAAAATCCCCCAAAAACCCAGGGGAAATCCCCCAAAACTGCAGGAAAACCCCCCAGAACTGCAGGGAAAATCCCCCAAAACTGCAGAGAAAATCCTCCCATCCTGCTGAGCCAGCAGGGAGCTGCCAGGCTGTGGCACAAGAAATGTTTGGACTCCAGCATTCAAACTCTGTGAGAAGTGGAAGGAGCTCATCCCAACCATTGCTGGGAAGGGAAGGAGGGCAGGGAAACATCCCAAATCCAGCCCCACCTCTTCTCCCAGGGGCTCCACAGAATTGTCCTGGACATAAACTTGGAATAAATCCTTGAAAAAAAAAATAATTTCTCCCTGCAAAAAACAAAACAAAAGAAAAAAAAAATAGAGACAAGGGCAGCAGAAAAGCCCCGGTGCTTTTGTTGCTGCTCAAGTCGTGGTGCCCCAGGGCACAGCTGGCAGCACACACCCCATTCCCAAGCTCCTCCTGGAATGCCAGCTTCCATCAGGATTCAGGGTTCTCCTTGATGAGCACGGGAAGCAGAAGAACAGAGGGTTTTGTTTGTTTGTTTTTCAAGAGTCACAGAGAAAAGCCTCCTCTGGTGCTGTTTGCTGCAGTCAGTGCAGACTCAGTTGCTGCAACACCACCCAAAATTCCTTTTGGAATGGGGAAAAACCTTCCAAATTGAGGAGGAGAAGAGACTGGAGCTGCAGCTCCTATTAAGGCGTTTGCATATACATTCCCAACCTGGGTTCTTCCAAAAAAAGGGGGAATTTTTGCACAAAAAAAGGCTTTTTTTTTTTTTTTGATTCGGGAATGGCAACAACTCCAACTGTTGAGAATCTCTGTGGAATTACAAACTGCTTGTTTTAAAAAAAGGTGGCAGAAGGGAAGTGTCCCATGTTTGCCTTGCCCACTGTGTCCTTCTGCAGGAATTCCATGTGCTATGTCTTCTGCAGATCCGGGGAAAAGGGGCCAGGGGTGGAGGGTCCATCCAGTCCAGAGAGTGTAAATGGGCCATGACTGTTCAGCACGGATGGAAACTAAGAGATAAAACAAGAATCAGCAAAAAAAACCACTTTAATTCAATGTTCCTCCCATATCTGTGCACAAAGGAGGGGGGAAAAAAACCCAAATGCAACAACAAAACAAAGCAAAACCACCCCAGATGTCAAGGATGCTCTTGGCTTCTCACTTTTAATTTATTTTTTAATGCCAAGAGGTGTCACAGTGACCCCATACCCTCATTAAAATGTGATTTTAATCCAGGTTCTGAGGAAAACAGGGTCTAAATTGCCCCTCAGTTAATTAGCAGCTGTTTCCAGGCTGAAATATCCAGTGTTATTTCAGCCCTCCTTGTTTATTCCCTGTGCTCATGGTACAGATGAGGAACTTCCTTCATCTCCATGGAGATGACAGATCCCAACCTAGAAGATTTCATTAAATTCTTTAATTTTAAAGAAATTAAATAAAAAATAATTAAATTGATGAAATTCTACCCTTTGCCTCAGCAAATTCAGGCAGCAAATGTGGTAATTCCAGGGCCAGAGTGGAAGTGTGAGGGAAAAACATGAGAATTACAACTAAAGGAGGGTTTTTTTTTTCAAATAGAGTGGATTTTTTTTTTCCTATATAGTAAAAAATATCCTGGCCTTGGACACTTCCAGGGATCCAGGAGCAGCCACAGCTTCTCTGGGCAACTGTGCCAGGGCCTTTCCACCCTCACAGGGCAGAATTTTATGGATTTCCTCCATAAAAATCATCAAAAACTGTGCCACACATCACTACAGAGATCAAACACATACTATTTCTCCTCATTAGTTGTGATATTAATTACTATTTTTCATCAGGAGTGATTGGAGCAATCAATAGAGTAGAAAATTTCTAAAATTCAGAAAAATCCCAACCAAAAAAAGGTACAGGGAGGAAATTTTTACAGGAAGAACAGATTTAAAAAAAAGAATAATCTCTCTCTAAAGAGAGATCAATTCCAACCATCCCTAAAACACCAACATTTACAACATCCTGAAACAAAACCAGGTAAAAAAATAAAATTAATGCCCTCAGAAGCTACAAGAGGGGGTCGGAACCAACAACTCCTGCTTTATTTCTGCTGCAAATATTGGGAATAAATGATCCCTGTGGGTGTGCTGGGAAGGGATTGGATAAAAACCATCCCTGGAGAGCTGGGACTCACCTGGAAGAGGGTGTTAGCACCTTGCAGGCGGGCAGGGCTGAGCGGGGCCACGGGGCTCAGCGTGCTCCAGAAGTGGATGCTGGACAGCAGGGGGCTGGGGGTCAGCAGGATGGGCGTCTGCAAGGGCACCACAAGGGCTGTCAGAGGCATTCCCAGGGAGTTCCAGCTTTTCCCCATGGAATTCCAACCTTTCCCCATGGAATTCCAGCTTCTCCCCACAGAAATCCAGCTTTTCCCCACAGAAATCCAGCTTTTCCCCACGAAATCCAGCTTTTCCCCACGGAATTCTAGCTTTTCCCCATGGAAATCCAGCTTTTCCCCACGGAAATCCAGCTTTTCCCCACAAAATTCCAGCTTTTCCCCACAGAAATCCAGCTTTTCCCCACAGAAATCCAACTTTTCCCCACAGAAATCCAACTTTTCCCCACAGAAATCCAACTTTTCCCCACAGAAATCCAACTTTTCCCCACAGAAATCCAACTTTTCCCCACAGAAATCCAACTTTTCCCCACAGAAATCCAACTTTTCCCCACAGAAATCCAACTTTTCCCCACGGAAATCAAGCTTTTCCCCACAGAATTCCAGCTTTTCCCCACGGAATTCCAGCTTTTCCCCATGGAATTCCAGCCTTTCCCCATGGAATTCCAGCTTTTCCAGCCTTTACTGTGGAATTCCAGCAGGGAAATTCCAGCCTTTCCCCATGGAATTCCAGCCCTTCCCACACAATTCCAGCTTCTCCTGTGGAATTCCAGCAGAGCAAATTCCAGATTTTAATGTGGAATTCCAGCCTTTCCCTGTGGAATCCAGCAGGGAAATTCCAGCCTTCCCCACAGAATTCCAGCAGGGATATTCCAGCCTTTACCCTGGAATTCCAGCAGGGAAATCCCAGCTTTTCCCACAGAATTCCAGCCTTTACCCTGGAATTCCAGCAAGGAAATTCCAGTTTTTCCCACAGAATTCCAGCCTTCCCCATGGAATTCCAGCAGGGAAATCCCAGCTTTTCCCACAGAATTCCAGCCTTTACCCTGGAATTCCAGCAGGGAAATCCCAGCTTTTCCCACGGAATTCCAGCCTTTACCCTGGAATTCCAGCAAGGAAATTCCAGTTTTTCCCAGGCTATTCCAGCCTTTACCCTGGAATTCCAGCAGGGAAATCCCAGCTTTTCCCACAGAATTCCAGCCTTTACCCTGGAATTCCAGCAGGGAAATCCCAGTTTTTCCCACAGAATTCCAGCCTTTCCCTGGAATTCCAGCCACAACACCCCCTCAGCTGCCAGAACTCCCATCCATCCCCTCCTTCCCCTCCTCCCTGCCAGCCCCATCCAGCTCTCTCTCCCTCCCCTGCCTGAGCAATCCATCCCTTTTTCTCCCCAAATCCTGCTGGCAGCCACAGCAGAGCAGCTCCTCCTCCAATCCAGCCCTCTGGAAAAGCGGGATTCTGGATTTAAGAAGGAAAAACCCACAAGCCTCAAGGCCGCTCCTGGTGCCACCAATGCCAGAACAACAAAAGGAGTTTCCATCCAGCCCCTGAATATCCCAGGTTCACCAGCCAAGCACTTCCCAGGGTGCCAAAAGAACAATTCCACTTGGATTTTGGTTTTTTTTTACTTCTCCCCTGTCTTCAGCCACTTCAGTTTTCAACCAGCAGCTTCCCCATGGTTTCATTTTAATTCCAATTTATTGCAGGGGAGAGATCACACAGATACAGAATGATTTAACAGCCCTGCTGGATTCAGTTCCCTTCCAAGTTTTCCATGAGACATGAAAGCTTTCCTTTCCCACACAAAGATAACAACCAAATTAAGCAGCTGCTCTTATTGCTGCTTGCTCACAAGACTTTGGCTTTAGCTAAATGCTACAAACTGAGTAAAAACAGCTCAGCAGACACCTCTGTGGGTCTGGTTTTGAAGGGTTTTCAGGCCCAGCTGAAGGATTTAGGAATAATTCAGCATTCCCCTGGCAATGTTTACAAAGATCCTGCTGGAGCTGGTTTGGGTTCTGCCTCCACATGCCAGCCCTGTGTGCATGCCCAGCACCTGGGCACACTTTGGGGTGAATTAACACCAAACTTGTGTTTAATTAAAAAAAAAACCAAAACACAACAACCAGGGAGTGACATCCTGAGTTTCAAATCTCTGCATACAATGAACTATTCACTTCCCACTTGCTGTTTTCAAGCATAACATTATCACTATTGTTAGTTTAAACAAAAAAGAAAAAAAAAAAAGAAACCAGGAAGGGAATTTAAAGGGGATTTGGTCACCTGAGAGAAAAGTGCTGGAGTAAGAGAAGCAGTTGGCAGAGAAGGACTCAGGATGCCCAGAGGACTGGGATCACTGCCTGTGATGACCAGAGTGGGAGCCAGCTCCAGCCCTTTGGGTTTTTTCGATCTGGAGAGGTGATTGGCAAACTCCTTCTCCAGCCCAGCTGAATCCTGCTGCTCTTTGGGCTCTGGGGACTGGTGCTGGAGGCTCTGGGCCTGCTCCAGCTGCTGGGAAGCCACAGACTCGATGTCCGTGTCAATGTCCAGGTCGGGGTTGGAGCTCAGGGGCGGCGAGGGCGGCGTGGAGGGCACCTGCAGGGCGGGGGAAACTGAGGGCATGGGCGGGGTCGGGGTGAAGCTGGCGCTCAGGTTTGGCAGAGGGGCTGGAGGAGCTTCAGGGACGCTCAGCTTGGGCAGGACCAGCGTCTCCAGGGTCTGCAGAGTCTCCTCAGAGCCCAGGGGGAGCGAGGAGGTCACGCTGGGGGTGGCAGAAGCCGTGGAGGGGACAGCCACTGCTGAAGTGGTGGAGACCAGGGGGGCAGAGGGAGGCTTTTTGGAGGGCATGGTGACAAACTTGATGACAGAAGGGGTGGGGTCCTGAGGTTTCTTCTCCGTCAGCTTCTCGGCAGGGTTCTCGATCTTGATGGACCTGAAGAGCTTCACGCTGGAGGAGTTGAGGGAGTTGAGGGTGAAGGAGGAGTACAGGCCTGAGTGGATGTAGTCATTACGGCTGGAGGGCTTAGCACAGGACTGGGATTTCTCCTTGCCACAGTTTTCCACGTCCTTGGGGGTGCTGGTGACCTCCCCAAAGCCGGGCATTTCGGGGTCCCCCTCGATCCGGCCCACCACGAGGGGATCCATGTTCAGGATCTCTGGGTACGACACGAATTTGTACACAAACTTCTTCCCGTTCACCTTCTTAATGATATTCTGGGGGGAAGAAGACAAAGTATATTTAGACCTTTCTTCAGATTAATTTTCTTCCTACAAACACTGCCTAAAATAGGCAGAGGAATTAAAGTCTGTAATCTTTCAGCCAAAAAAAAAAAAAGAATGTTTCTTCTTTTCCCGTTTTAAAAACACCCTGCGTGTTCCAGTTCTGTTCTCGGAGCTGGCAGACAAAACAGTGCAACAGGTGAGCTTAACCTGACATTAAACATACTAAAAACAGCCTAAAAACTGCCAAGAAATCCTGTGTAACATCAAAAAATGCCCATTACCCCCAGCAAGGATCACTCAGCTGGGAACACTACGGGTAATTTAATAGAAGAACTTGCTAAAGGGTTTCTCCAGGAGTGCAGAACTGAGAGCTTGCACTTCAAATCAAACCACCTTTATTCTTAATAAGATGATAATAAAGGAAAATAAGCAGCTGAACTCGTCAGCAGAATGCAGGCTAATCAGTTATTTCAATACCACAGAACAGCATCTGTCAAACTTGTTTTGCTCCTCAGCGAAATGCCACACACACTTTGGACTTGGAATTATCCTTATTTATCATCCCCCGATTGTTGCTGAGATCTCTCAGCACCGAGGCAGATTTGTGGCACCCAGGAATGAACAGCAGCACCTCCCACCTGCTCCGGGCTGAGGCTCCTCAGAAACTGGGGGTTATTTTTATCTGCTCCACTCACACACGAGCAGCCGTGGGATAAAGGGAAACAAAGGTGAGACTCGAAGATGTTGGATAAACAAAAGCTTCTTACTCTGCTGGGCTGAAAACAATGGTCAAAGTGAAGGTGAAATTCTGAATGCGCAGAGAAAATAAAAATACTTAGGGATGGAAAATGTTTCTTTTGAAAGAAAGAAACGTAAAGAGAAAAAAGATCTGGAAGTGGTGCAATATTCACGCTCTCCATCATCATCCTCTCTCTCTGTGCTTTACCTGGGTTTTAACCCTTGCAAGGGTGTGTATTTTTGGAAGGGGGATGAGGATCCAAAGGCAAATTTGTATTAGCAAAGACACCAAGCCACCAGAACATCCCAAAACAACCAGCAAGGAGGAATCAGCGCAGCAACAAACGGAACGAAAAACAAACCCAACACCTTTAAACAAAGCAGCCCAACTTCCTTCAACCTGGCAGAGGCACAGCAGTGCCACCCCTGCCCTGGAGGAGGAGGGCACAAAGCTCCTTAGCTGAGAGGGATGAGGATTGGAGCAGGATTTCCACCCTACCTTCACGTAGTAGTAGCGCAGCGCGCGGCTGAGTTTATCATAGTTCATGCTGGGCTTGTTCTTGCGGATCCCCCAGAGCCTGGCCACCTCCTCTGCCTGCAGCAGCTTGAATTCCCCGTCGTTGGAGGTCCAGCAGATGATGTTCTTGTTCTGGGGCTCTTGGAGCAGCTGGAGGAGGAACTGCCACAGGGTGATGGCACTGTCCATAGCAGAGAGCTGCAAGTCACAAAGGCAGGTTAAGGCCGGAGCATTTCCCTTCTCTCTCCCTACAAGCTGGGGGGGGAATGGAGCAGGGATTGTTATTTCCAAAGCCAGCAAGAGTAAAAAACTATTAGTCACCAGTCGTGAAAGATGTTCCCTGCAGAACTGAGGGGCTGAGTGCCAACTCTGGCGTCTCCTCCCACATGTCAGTACTTTTCACATGGGTTATATTTAGCCTCATTTAACTAAATCAGGTCACTTTGGGTAAGTTGCAGTGAGTCACTACCCCCAAAAAAAATGTTTCCAAGTTGTTCCATGTTCACCCACTCTGGCTTGTGCTGCTCTGTGAGAGAGAGCTCAGGTACACCCAGGTAGGGCTCAAAGCACCCCCTCAGCTCCTCCTTTCCCTCCTGCTCCCACCTCAGAGGGAACTGCAAAGCTCCAGGAAGATGCCAGAGCCAAAACAACTCAATTTTCCCCTCAGTTTCCAGTCCAGCCTCTCAATCACCCCAATCTCCCCTCAAATCTTTGTTTTCCAGGTATCACCCCTGGTTTTTTTTAATGAGAGTAAACACAGAACTAAATTAAAATTATTGCAAACACTGCCTGTGCTTGGTTCTTAATTCCTGCCACGTCTTACCCACGTCAATGATTTAGGCTGGGACTTTCTAGGACTGATATCTGCCAGTTGATTCCTGCTCTGAAGTTGTTGATGCATAAATTCATCAAGGACAGATCAGGCAGATAACATTTTACCTCAACCATCTCTGACTACACCAAACAATATTTCCTCAAATATTTTTCAGCAGAACACTCATCATTCTGGATAAGAGACAGTGTGGATTAAGCCAGACAAAATATTAATTCAGCACCTCCTATCGATTCTCTTAGTCCAGAACTGTTCAAATAACACAACTTAAACTTTTTCCTGTGAAATAAAAACAGAGGAAAAATGCTCTGGGATAGTGAATAACATAAATAATTCTGGATATTCATAAGCACTGTATTTTTCCCCCTAGGAAAGGGGGTCCAGGGGCTCCATCTGGGTGAGTTTGATATTCAAACACCAATCCCAAGCTCCAAAGGCACCAAGCCCAGGCTGGGGGAGCAGGAGCCAGGCTGGTGCTGGGTGCTGTCCCTGTGCACCCAGGCTCAGCCTGCCCTGCCAGCTCCTCCTTGCTCCCAAAGCCTTTTATTCCAATCTCATTAGTGCCCAGCACTTAGCCAGCCCTAAATAAGGAAGGGAACTGTGTCCAGGGGAGAGCTGAGCACTCAGGGAGCCCAGGGACAGGATTAGAGCTGAGCTCACACCCAGCTCTGGGGGAAACGAGGTGCCCAGGCCATGGCACCTGTGTGGGCACCTTTGTGGGCACAGCCCGTGGCATTGCAGCCCTTCTGCAGAATCCCTGCCTCATGGCACACGGGCTGATGTGACATTGATCCAGGCAGGTGAAGTGCTGCAATTACACGGAGCAATCTGCAAGTGAAGGACACCCACACCCCCTCGTCAGGCTGGCCCGAGGTGCTTTCCCTGTTAATTACTGCACACGTACAACTCCCTGCTTGCCCAAATTAATTGCTCGGCACTCGAAGAAACTGGAGGCTGTGCTTCCAGACTCTTCCCACACTGCTCTGTGCTGTGCCAGCTGATCCCTACAGGATTTAGGGCCCAGGAAAACACTTTAAAACCCTTCCAGGACCGCCTGGTGCTGCCATTTACCCCCAACACGCCAGGCTGGGAACGCCAGGGCCCCGCTCTCCGGGGGATGATGCAGCCACACGTGGTGGAGAGCACGAGGACTTGGTTCTGGCACCCAGCAGAGCTGTCAGGAGCACGGAGATGTGCTAAGAGAGAGCAGGCAAACCAAGCTGAGTGATTTATTCCCACGCTGCGTTTATCTCCAGCGCTCTGGGAGCACTGCACCAAACTGATGCAACGTGGAAAGCAGATTAGCAACAGGATTTCACAGTGGCAAAGGATTTTTTTTTTGTTTTTCCCCACCCCTCCTGCTAAAAATCCACGCAGCTTTCACCCCAGAACTGAACTGGTGTTATTTCATGGGGCTGCTTCCCTTAGGAAGTTGCACCTTGCTGTTAATTCCAAGCTGACCCAAGCCAAGCGTTGCTGCCCAGGTCACAGCTGGTCTGGAATCCAGCTGGAGAAGCCCAAAGCAGCACAAAGTTCTGTAAAACAGCACGCAAAGAGAGGCCAAAATGATGGAAAATACTATATATTAAAAAACAAACAGAAAAAAACACCCAGCACCTTTCCCAGAGATGAGCTAAGCCCTGTGAGGAGCGTTACCAAAGTTAAAGAGTTCATGCTGCTCAAATCCTGCATTTTCCAGCTGGAAGGATCCTCAGCCAGGGGCAGAGCTACAGACTGTACTGGAGAGCAATTCTGATCAAGTTCCTCCTGATGTTCCTGGCATGTGCAGCCCCAGGCGTGTCACGATTCTGTCCATCACTCAGAGGACACATGGCACATCCCCAGCTTGGAAAAGTCTTCTCTGAGAAACATTAAAAGGGTGGAGAGGCCTCACTGATCCCTGGCTGTCACTGAACAGGAGCACAGAGTACTCTGGTATTGTTCATGGATGGGTTTACTGCACAAAACACAATGAATATTCCCCTTTATTAAATGTTCACTGCATTCATCTCCAGGGAATGATGGAGATCCCGCAGTGGAACCTCATGGAGACTTCAAAGAAATGGAAAGGTGGAGTTTTTCTGGAGGTTCTGTCCAAAGGGATGGCCAGAAAACAACCTTGGCAAAGCCAGGGGATCACAGGTGGATTTTGCCCCTCCAGAGTCCCCCAGAGAGCTGTTAGCTGGGAAAGTCCAATGTGTATCAGGAGACAATGTTGTGTCTCATTTAACTTTAGTACCCAACTAGAAAAATACACAAAAAACCTCTTGTTTCTCCAGGAAAAAGCAGAATATAAAAAAAGCCCATCACACAAGATGTAAAATGAAAACCAGCACGGGTGAGCTGAGCACCACCCATGTGAGGAAAAGGTTTTTGCTCCTCCAGCAGCCAGGGCAGGAGGCAGCTCTGCCTTTCCTGAGCCTTCCCCTGGCACCAGGGATGAGAAACGGCTCAAGAACCCCCTGCCCCACACGAGTGAGGCTGAAACGTTCTCTCAGTTTGTAAACAGCATTTCAACTTTTACATTTCCTCAACAGCCCCACTCTGCTCCTCTCAGCTCCCCAGCAGCACAAAATCCCCTCCCAAGCCCAACCGCATTTCCTCCAGGACGAGCACACCGATAATCACAAACAAATTACCAAACCTGCTGAAACCATCCTTTTGTGAAGGTGCTTTTCCCTCCTAAGAGGAAAAGGGAATGAAGCTGAGAGCCTTTCCCTCCCTGCGCCGTGTGAGCAGGAGGAAAAAATAGTTGCTGGAGGCAGAGGGCAGCTCTGCTTTGTAATGAGGCAGCTAAAATAGAGCACTATTATTGTCTTGAGATCTTCTCCGACGCCTACGGGTGACCCTGGGAGCTCAGCAGGAGCTGCCAGGGTTTGGCACAGAGCTCCCAAAAAACCTGAGCCTGCCCTGCTGCTGCAGCTCTGCTGGAGGCCTGCCCTTTGCAGGAGTTTGTCCAGGAAAAGCAGCATTTGGGATTTGTCTCTTCCCCTCCGTGGGATTACAGGGCCTGCAGGTTTGGCTTTTCCTGGCAATGTGAGGAAGCGGCACAAAAAATCCAAATATTCACCCTCTGTGTGGCCTGGGAAGGGACTAAAGGCGGGATTAGGGGTTAGGCCAGTCCTAACCCCCTCCTTCGAGGTCTCCTGGCACGTTTCCTGTGCTTTGACTCAACCCAAATAATCTCCAAGAATCTTTCACCTCCATTTGTTGCAGCAGCCTCTGCTGAAGCATCTGCAGCCTGATGACTTCTGCAGATGGGCTGAACAAAAAAAAACCAAATCCTTGTCAGGCCCCCAGGCAGGAAGAAAAGCGGAAAGGAAAGGAAAGGAAAATGGGAAAGGAAAATGGGAAAGGGAAATGGGAAAGGGAAATGGGAAAGGGAAATGGGAAAGGGAAATGGGAAAGGGAAATGGGAAAGGGAAAGGGAAAGGGAAAGGGAAAGGGAAAGGGAAATGGGAAAGGGAAATGGGAAAGGGAAAGGGGAAAGGGAAAGGGGAAAGGGAAAGGGAAAGGGAAAGGGAAAGGGAAAGGGAAAGGAAAGGAAAGCCGGGTGTCACAGCCAGGGGACAGCCCAGAAAGGGCCCTGGGGACACAGAAAGGGCTTCCAGCCCCGAAATAAAAACCGGGGTAAAGGCAGGTACAGGTCTGGGGAAGCTCGTGGTGGAGGTGAGAAAATCAAGGCTTAGATTCCAGGAAATGATAGGAAAATACAGGAAAAATCCAGGGAAAAAATCCAAGGGAAAAAACTTCCAGGAAAAAAAAATCCAAGGGAAAAAACCAAAAAGAAAAACCAGGGGAAAAAACAGGAAAAAAAAACAGAAAAAAAAACAGGAAAAAAAAAACAACAGGAAAAAGGCAGGAAAAAGGCAGGGAAAAGGCAGGAAAAAGGCAGGAGAGCAGAGCCTGCTGTGACTGCAGCCCTTGCCAGGCATCCCAGGTTTCAGCACTCTGGGAAGGGCAGGAGAGAGCAGCAGGAGCTGTGCAGCCCCTCATCCCTGCTCTGTTGTGCACCACTGCTCTGCACACAGGCCTTGGGGGCTGCCCCAGGAAAACAAACACTCGTGGCTGAAGGAGAATTTTGGAGGTCACAGGCCCAAACCCACAGTGAAAGCATCAAAATCTAGCAGGATTTTCCCCTCTCTTTGTTCAATTAATAAATGAGTAAATAAATCATCCTCATCCTTTCTTGTTGTGGGCCATGGTTGATAAGTGTCCAGTTAAAATGGGTATCAAAATAAAACCAAGCAACAGTTTTATCAGCAATATTCCATCCCTAATAAACCTTTCCCAAAAGCTTTTCCACCTCCCAGGGTTGTGACTCACCTGAACTGGTACTTTTAGGATTGTATCAATTTTAATTAATTTTAGAAAGAGCCGACTGTGAAAAAAAATCCCAAAAAACCCCACAAACCTGCTGTACAAAACCTGCTGTGAACTGAGGCCTTTTCCAGAGCACACACAGGTGAAATGCCAGGTAAAAACCTCTTAAATGTGTAAAATAAAGGAAGTAAACAAGGAATTCAAACTAGACATGCAGAATTCTACACTCCCTTAAAAAATCCCAACCCCTGGCAGCTTTCCAAGTAGCAATCCAACCAAACCATCTGTAACAAGCACCAAAAATCAAGGAAAAATAAGGAAAAAGCAGCCCAACCTCTAAGAAATCCTTGCTTTCCCCTTGCCTCTGGCATTCCCTGCACCGTGGCTCCCAATCCAGGCAGGAAAATCAGATTATTGTGCAGGAGAAGCCGTGGTTATCAGGGCAGGAAGTTCCTTGGAAGGAAATGCTGAAGGATGTCCTCATGATAAGAGCTGCTCCAGAGTTTTCATTGCCTAATCCCACTCCAAGCCTCTCTTTTATTTTTTTTTTTTAACTCAAAACAAATGTTGCAATAAATTTTGTCTCGCTGGCTCAAAAATTGAGTTACTTGAGATGAAATTTAGGTGTTTTAGCAAAAATTTTTGGGGTTAGGAACCAGCTGTTTCAGCTTCTGAGTCCTGAGAAAGAAATATTTCTTTTTCTTTGCATTTTCCAGTTTTTCCTCAGTGTTTTCTGGCCCTTGTGAACTGGCCAAGAGCAGGAACAACCATGAAGGACAGCAATGACATCAGGATTTCCACGGGGCTCTCTGCAGCCTCAGGTTGGCAGCAGAGGAGCCAAGCACATTTCTGGGGGTTTCAATCCTGACAAAAGGGGCCCCTTTTGTTATCAAAACCAGCTTTGATCATCACACATGGCTTTTAATGTTCAACCTGATGGAAAACAGGGGGAAAAGGGGATTTTAAAGCGGGTTTTGTGTAATTCCTGCTGCAGTCTCTCTGCTCCTCCATCCCTGCCTGGGCACCACTGAGTATGGACAGCCCAAATTCCCCTGATTTTCCACACTTGGATCAGCATTATTCCTTTCCTAAATATTTTTATTTTTAGGATATGAGGGCCCAGGGAAGGTTTGGGACACACAGAGGGGATGGGAAACTTCAAAACCAAAAAGCCTTTGATGGGTTTGTGACCCTGCTGGGATTGTTCCCGAGAGAGCCAGAAAAAAAATCTGATTTCCTGGAAGCTCCTAAGGAGATTACACTCACTTCCTCCTCATCTGGCTGTGTTTACCAACAGCAGATTAAACTGCCTTGCACAGGCACAGGGAAAAACATCCCCAGTTCCCAGCAAGAACAATCCCAAAAAAATCCCAGGTTGAAATTCCTCCCGGGTGGGGAGAGGGAATGTGATCAGAGCTGGAAAAGCTGCCCTGAACAATGTTTGTGGTACAGCAGCCCCGTTGCCATGGCGATGGAACAACTATTCCCTGCAAACAGGCACAGAGACCCTAAAAATAAACAGCCCAGGCGAAATCCCCGCGTCAGGCATGAGTGGGGATGGGGTGGGAGAGAAACCCCAATTCCCAATAAAGCTCTCCTAAAAGCTTTCCCAGCCCCCAGGGCTGTGACCCACCTGAATTGGTACTTTTAGGATTTTATCAATTTTCATTTTTTAAAAATAATAATTTTATAATTATTTTAAATTTAATTTAATAAATTTTTTAAAATTGAATAAATAATTTTAAATTTAATTGAAAAAAGAGCCTGCTGTCAAAAAAAACCAACAAAAAATCCACAAACCTGCTGTTCAAAACCTTTTCCAGAGCACACACAGGTGAAATGGCAGCTAAAAGCCTCTTACAAGTGTAAAATAAAGGAATTAAACAACAAATTGAAACCAGAGATGCAGAATTCTACACTCCCTTAGTGGAGAAGGGCTGGAGCCTCCAAAGCAAAGCCCTGCCTCGCTCAGGAGCTGCTCCTCTGAAAATCCAGACAAAATATTCATTCAGCAGTCACAAATCCAGCCCAGCTCTGGAGGCTGTCCAGCCCTGCTGGGGATTTTGGGGATGGAGAGGAAGGGAGGGAGCTGGAGGTGGAACCCAGGTATGGGATGTGTGTGTGTGCACCAGGGAACAGCAAATAAAAAGCAGCATCTGCAGGATTTGCATACTTTCTCCTCTGCCTCCCCGATTGATGTGGGCAGGAATCCTCCCAGTTCAGACAGGGGAGTGCGGGAGGATGAAAAAAAAATAATAGTGGTGAGGAATTAAAAAAATAAAACCCCAAAAAAAACCCAGCAGCCATTGGAGCCAAGGAGCCAAAGAAGCAAAGCCTGGATCCAAACAACGGCTGGGCTCAGCCTGCAAAGCCCTGCACCCAAAAATCTCCTGCCCCCAAAAATCTCCTGCACCCAAAAATCTCCTGCACCCAAAAATCTCCTGCACCCAAAAATCTCCTGCCCCCAAAAATCTCCTGCCCCCAAAAATCTCCTGCCCCCAGAGACTGCCTGCAGCCCACCAAGGAAGGTCTGCATCCAAACAGCCAATTCCTGGATCAAAAACATCCTGGATCTCACCACGCAAGCCCTGCACCCAAAGAAACTCGGGATTCCAGAGCAACCCCTGGACCCAAACAGCTCCTGGATCCAAACAGCTCCTGGACCCAAGCAAGGGATTCCTGCTCCCAAAAATCTCCAGGGTCCCACCAACCAACATCTGGATCCCAAAATCTCCTGGATCCCACCAACCTCTGACTCCCAACAACCCCTGGACCCCAAAAACCAACTCCTGGACCCCAAAATCTCCGGGATCCCACGAACCAACGTCAGGATCCCAAAATCCTCAGGATCCCACCAACCAAACTCTAACTCCAAACAACCCCTGGACACAAACAAACAATTCCTGGATGCCAAAATCTCCAGGATCCCACGGATCAACCTCTGGAGCCCAAAATCTCCTGGATCCCAACCAACCTCTGGCTCCAAACAACCCTAGACCCAAAAACCAATTCCTGGACCCAAAAATCTCCGGGGTCCCGCGAACCAACCTCGGGATCCCACCAAGCAACCTCTAACTCCAAACAACCCCTGGACCCAAATAAACAATTCCTGGATGCCAAAATCTCCGGGATCCCACGGATCAACCTCTGCCTCCAAACAACCCCTGCACCCAAAAACCGATTCCCGCACCCAAAATTCTCCAGGAACCCAAAATCCTCAGGACCCCACCAACCAAGCCCTGACCCCAAACACCCCCTGAACCCCAACAAGACAATTCCTGGACCCCAAAATCCCCAGGATCCCTCCAGCCACCCCCGGGACTGCCGAAGCCGCTCCAGCCGGGATATCCCAGGCGGCCCCGGGCTGGGCCCGGCCCGGCCCCGCCGCTCCCCGTGCCCGCTCCCAGCCCTGAGGGGCAGCGCCGCGGGGACCGCCC